AGCTAATCAGCTGTTTGTCAGCTCAGCGCGGCAGCCATGTAAATTTAAATGAAGCCGCGATTATTTAAATCGCGGCTTCATTTCCCTTTGCCTATGTGTCTAATCTACATGCCTCCATCGACGGAGGCATGTAGTCTAGACACGCCCCCTGACTGACCACCTTATTCTTCCCCAGACATATAGCAAGCTAGCAAAGTAATCTTGGCCCTCAGTGCAATCCCACACAAATTAAACTGAAGTCATGTCCCACATCCCAGGCCCCCAAAATAATCACTATCCTATCTCTTTTGGGTGTGCTTTTCAGTAAGAGACACTATGTATTCTAATGATCTACCTTTAATTAGCGAATATAGCCCAGGGGTTGTCCAAGTTTTTCCCTACCACGCACTCCCCTCCACCTCCCGGGGTGTAAATATGTCTGCGTGTTATGCAATTTGATTTTTACTCATATTACCAGTATCACGTTGTAGTAATAGGCCCAGCTGGTTAATTTCTTTATGGACAAAATCTTTGAAATCATCCATCATCATCTCCCATTCGTCAGGAAGTTGCTGCCCAACAGTTGTCCATGCTTGAACAGAAAGGTTGTTTCATTTCATACATTTGTAAACCCAGTTACCTCAGCCTCTGCGAAAATCATCGATTTTCATCTCCATAGCCATAAGTCGAGCCTTGAGCTTTATGGCTACCGTTGACACCACACATTGGCTATCACTCTATGGAAGAACTCACTTCGCCAGGTTTTCTTCTAGATGTGGCCTCTTGGCTTTCTTTCCTCAGCGCACTCTTTTACGAGGATTTAATTTCTCAATCTCCACTTCTTCTTTTCTCCACTCATGAACAGACTTTTCATTAATGGAAAATTTTCTGCCTGCTACTCTATTGCCATTTTCCTTTGCATATTTAACAACAGACAGTTTAAAATCAACTGTATATGATTTACGCTTAAGCATCTTTAAAAATATTTTCTTGGACTATATTTGTTATAAACTGAAAAAGTTTTAAAACTTTGTGGTTGGTGTAGGTCTTATATACCAGTAATAAGGTAGTGCTTATTGCTTTTTGTAGCTCAGCAGCCTCAGCCGTGGTTCATTACCGTTATACCAAGACCCAATATTATCGGGCTGCATGATGTCATAATCTTCAATGTTTATAGCTGGCAAGTGGCAACCACATCAAAGACCACCAGATTCTTTTATGAAGGCAGCAAAAGTCTCTTCAATACGATAGTTGATGATTTTGTTCTGTGATAATATGTTAATTGACCAGCAATCAATACGATAGTTGATGACTTTGTTCTGTGATAATATGTTAATTGAGCAGCAAAATTATACTGGTTTTGCCTTTCATGCAAGCAATAGCTGTACGGGCAAATGCCAACAACTTCAAAGTCAGGACGATTACGGTACCGTAGACAGCTTTGGGTTTCAGTGGTACCATAAACAGAAAAATGATTCACCATACCCTACTATTCTATACTATGTTTATACCTAATGCAAAGAAGCCAACACAGATTTTGGTCATTTATTGTTCTTTACAAAAACCTGTGGGTTATGTACGTCCGCGGATATTCTAATATATTTTTTACATAGAGTAGAAAAACTGCAGGTAATACACGAGTGCGTGTTATACTTGGATGCGTGCTATATTCGCTAATTTATGGTATTCAGGCTTGATGCTATGATATTATGCATCTACTAAGAAGTGACAAGTGCTGGCAACTTCCAGAGAAGCTGAAGGGAGCTGTAGGCACTCAACACTTCTCAGGTGGCTTTTGTGACTTTACAGGACTGGCCTTTTATGATGCAGAAGTGAGTGGTGGAAAGATAAGACTGCAAATTCTGCTACCTGTTATACCTCGGCAACCTCAGTCCAATGAGTGGAACGGAACAGGCAGGGCAGCAGAATTTAGCCCAGCTCTCTACACTTAAGAATTAACAGTCAGCATCACCATGAAGGGTCACCAAATAAAGAAGCTGTGAGTAAAACAGCAGTAGCAAAAAAAAAAAAAAAAAAAAAAGGTTCTCATTGCCCTTGGGGATTCAGTGAGAGAAAAATGAAAGCTGGCTGCACTGTTGATGTGTAGTGAGATATGTTTGTGGAAAGTGGGAGGTGGAATGTATGAAGAAATGAGTAGTGTTGCAATGAAGGGTAAGAGGTAGGGTTGCTTTTTTTTTTCTTAACCAAACATTACAGCCCCCTGCTCATTGCTTAATCCTCCTCCCCTGGGACTCACCTTCCACCTGCAGAGCCAGGGTGGGAGGGGCAGACACAGTGCTTGGCTTCCGACCCAATAAGAGTGCAGTAGCATGGGAAGGTGGGGAGAGGTCAGCTCCTGAAACAAGGGGTCAGAGAGAGCTGGGACCCTGGGTGGCTGAGAACATAAGAGGGGCTGTCAAGCCTGCCTGCTGGCCAGCCTAGGTACCAATCCTGCTCCTCAATCACTGTTCACTGTGAGTATCTCTCCACTCCCAACAGCAGCTGCTCTTCCTGCCCCCCTGGGGACAGAGGCCTTTCTTGGTTACTGTGGAAACCAGACTTCTGGTGCCCAGTCAGCAGTGCCCCCTTCTGAATAGGTCAGTTGACAACCAGGCACCTGATCACTCTAGTAAGAGGTGATAAACGAATGGAAAATGTCATTTTAAAGAAAGGATTTGACTGTATTGTATCATTTAGTTTTGTGTAACAATAGAATTACAACTACCCAACAGTAAAATTGTTCCATTTTATAACCTAATTAGAAGATCTTGTTGCTCAGGTTCTTAACTCAATTAATTTTTGTTTTTTAAATCATTCCTCCGGGGTGGGGCAGGGCTGAGGGGTCCAGTGTGCAGGCTTTCCTGGGGACAGGTGAGAATGCCGCTCCATGGCCGCTGCAGCTCCAGCAGGCACAGGGAGGGGTGCATGTTGCCCGGCTGGGGCAGGTCCAGGTTCATCTGCCCCCTGTGCTCCCCAGCCCAAGTGAGGAATGAAGCAAACTGCACTTTTCTCTGGGGGAACAGCCAGCATTGCTCCTATACGAATGGGTCAAGGGGTAGCAGCAGCTCCTTCCACACTCCCTAAAAAGCACCTGGAGGTCAGGGAAGCTCAGGGCTGGGACAGTCCTGGATGAGGGAGGAGTGTCCCCAGCCAGCCTCTTTTACCTGCCTGGTGATTCTTTTTCCCTGTGTGGTTTTGTGTGACTCCCCCCCTACATATAGGGAGTCTGTGGCAGGCCCTAGGTTTCTGTAGTGTAGTGGTTATCACATTCTCTCTGGGGGAACAGCCAGCATTGCTCCTATACGAATGGGTCAAGGGGTAGCAGCAGCTCCTTCCACACTCCCTAAAAAGCACCTGGAGGTCAGGGAAGCTCAGGGCTGGGACAGTCCTGGATGAGGGAGGAGTGTCCCCAGCCAGCCTCTTTTACCTGCCTGGTGATTCTTTTTCCCTGTGTGGTTTTGTGTGACTCCCCCCCTACATATAGGGAGTCTGTGGCAGGCCCTAGGTTTCTGTAGTGTAGTGGTTATCACATTCGCTTCACATGCGAAAGGTCCCTGGTTCAAAATGAGGCAGAAAGGAGGGATGGCTCAGTGGTTTCAGCATTGGCCGCCTCAACTCAGATTATGAGTTCAATCCTTGAGGAGGCCATTTAGGGATCTGGGGCAAAATCTGTCAGGGATGGTACTTGGTCCTGCTGTGAAGGCAGGGGACTGGACTTGATGACTGTGACGGGGCTAACCTGCCCTGCACTGAGGAAGAGGAGCCCGTTTATTGGGTAGAGCATGCCCCTCCCCCACAGCCCTACCGGGCATGCTCGAAGTGCAGCCTCACTATAAAAGACTGCCGGGCTGCTCAGTTGGGGCAGACCACCGGGGAGGAAGGAGCTCCGGCCCAAGCTGCAGGCCCGCCGCCAGATTCAGAGGAAACACCCCCTACGCTGCTGCCCCAGAGACAGGACCAGCTGACGTGGCCGCCGCCGCCAACCCCGCATCGCCAGGTGGGACCTCCGTTGGCCACAAGGCTGGGGGAGGAAGCAACCCAGGGCAAGGGGCAGGGAAAACCCTGGTGGGCTCAGCACGTTTCGGGGAGGACCCCCCCGCTGAGCCAGTGGTGGGAACCACCCACCACCATTAGGGCCCTGGGTTGGGGTCCGGTGGAGAGGGAGGGCCCGGACCCCCCTACCCCAACCCCTCAGGCTGTGGACTAGGCCACAGGGCCTGCTGCGAGTGCTGGACTAGGCCTCCGGGCTGGTGGCTAACGCTTTAATCATGGGAAGAAGGGAAAGGGGCGGGGAGGACCCCGCCACAATGACCTTTCAAGATCCCTTCCAGTTCTAGGAGATAGGCATAGGGAAGAGCTTCAGTTCCCACAACCCACCTCTTACCTTGCTTTAAGTTATTGGTGGTTCTAGCTCTTACTGTTTAGGAGGAGTTCTTGAACAGATGGACAATTGGACAGAGTTGCTTTCTCACAGACAGATAAAATCTCTGAAATATATAGCAGATAAATAATGTTTCATAATTTTAATATATAGAGATTTTATTATCATGATAAAAAGATAATCCTACTGAGGTGCACACATTTTAAGTTATTGGCCTCTTGCGGCATTATGCGTAATTTTACAAGATATGGAGAAACTAAGCATGTAACTCCAGATGAGAAAGGGAAACATGAATAGCTAGACCAGCACTGATATGATATCTGGTTGACATTACTTAATTTTTGGCCTTTCTGTATTAATGCTTAGGTACAAACTGAAAAATGTATGCTATTTAGTCCACTCTTTTATATTCACATAACCATAGTGGCCAACTTAAAATGTAGTACAGTTGTATAAAAACTGAAATTATCTAGGAGTAGGGATGAGAATTTAAGTTATTTTTATCTACTCCTTCCTCACTCTGACATCAGCTCCATCCTCCTCCTCCTCCAATCCCCTATCACCTCTTCTTGTCCTCCAAAGGACTCTCTCCAGTCTGCTGATATCAGACCCTCTTGGCTCTCTCCAGAAGACAACTTCAATGCATTCCCCAAACAGCCATCACAAAAATATCCTATTTCCTGTCAACAACCATTTTGTGGAAAACTCCCCAACCTCCACTAGTTAGTACAAAACTGCCAATGAGCCATACTGCACATACTACACTTGTATACAGTAAATGATGACAAGCATTCAATATAAAAACCCTTTAGCTACGTCTACAGTGGCAAGATTTTGCGCAAATACTTTTAACGCAAGAGTTTTTGCGTTAAAGTATTTGCGCAAGAGAGCGTCTACACTGGCATGTGCTTTTGCACAAGAGATGTGCTTTTGCGCAAAAGAATCCGTGCCAGTGTAGATGCTCTCTTGCTCAAGAAAGCTCCGATGGCCATTTTAGCCATCGGGCTTTCTTGTGCAAGAATTCATGTTGCCTACAATGGCTTCTTGCGCAAGAACAGTTGTGCAAGAGGCCTTTTTCCTGAGCAGGAGCATCATAGTTCTTGCGCAAGAAGCACTGATTTCACACATTAGAACGTCAGTGTTCTTGCGCAAGAACTCCCCGCCAGTGTAGACAGGCAGCATGGTTTTGCACAAAAGTGGCTGCTTTTGCGCAAAATCATGCCAATGAAGACACAGCCTTTGAGAAATGATGATGGACTTTACATATTAATACAAAAGTGTTAAGTGACACAAAAAATAGTTTCTTTATAATTTTGAGCAATAATGCAAGAGCAGTAATTTATTCCAAGCATTCACGGTGTTAAATCTCCTGCAACGCAAAAGATATAAATCTCCCTTTTAAGTGGTTGCTGGCTCATTTTGAACCATTGTAGCATATGTTCCCATTAAGGGCAACATGAGTCATGCCTTGTTTGTATAAGGTGTGATGTTTGAATTGTAGAACCATTTGTATGAAATTGAATTTAGCAGAGCCATGGAAGGTCTTGGGAGAGTATTGCTAACTATATTGCTGTGGAAGTTCACTCAGGGTTATTAAATTACTACCATTGAGATTCTTGTTCTGTACTCTAAAACATTTGTGCATGATAATGGCTTTAGTGAATGACTGCTTCAATCTACAACCATATGTCTTCCTAACACCCATCAAACAAACATTTGTTAAGCAAGTCCCATAAGGCTGATGTCATTTTTGCTGCGTGATGAGAATAAGGAATGTAAATTGTTTGCAAAATTCTCTTTATTTTCAGCAATAGCTGAATTAATTTTGTTCAAATTTTCAAAACTATATTCACACATAGACAAAGACTATATTTGAAAAGTTCCAGCTTGAAATGTAAAAAGTTCACAAAGTTATGAACAACTGCAAAGGGGGGAATATAATGAAAAAGCACGGGCAACCTTAAAAATAGCTCTTGCAAATGCACTAACTGTATTGTTGGTATGTTTTAGCTTGGAACTGTTTTATTGTTTCTCTCTCAATATATATAGAATAAAAGCTTAACATACTTTTATTTTAAAAATTATTAGTATTACTATTATTATTCTCTGGATCTTCTCCAATTTCTGCACATCTTCCTTGAAATGTGGTGCCCAGAACTGGACACAGTACTGTAAATGAGGCCTAATCAGTGCACAGTAGAAGGGTATGTCTACACTACCCCGCTAGTTCGAACTAGCGGGGTAATGTAGGCATACCGCACTTGCAAATGAAGCCCGGGATTTGAATTTCCCGGGCTTCATTTGCATAAGCCGGGCGCCGCCATTTTTAAATCCCTTGCTGGATTTCGCCAAAAAGTGAAATCTGGGGTGCCAAAACCGCTTAGAATACAATTCTCAACATTTTACACAGAAAAAATTTCCAAAGCATTCCCAATGTTTTTACAACCATTTTCCACACTGAATGTGATGTTCCATGGGTATTTTTGAAAGCTAGCAATATTTAACCCAGGCACTAATCCTGCTTTAATTTAAATCCAAGGTAGCAGGACTAGGTTTTTGCTCTGTAAACTCCCAGGTTTAATAGCTCAGGGAAATTATATGAAGTGTTTGAAAGTTCTTGACAGGGGGTATGTCTACACTACCCTCCTAGTTCGAACTAGGAGGGTAGTGTAGACATACCCGAACAGAAGTCCACCAAAGGATAACATACTACATAACAAGATCTTTCCCCAAAAACACTAAACACCAAACATGGGGGTAATCATATGAATCTGTATCTGCAAAAACAATATCTGTTAGTCTCTAAGGTGTCACAGGACTCTTTGTTGTTTTCACCAAACAAGGGTCATTCTACTATTCGATTTACTTTTCTACTATTCTATTCTACTATTCAATTTTTTAATCTAGGTTGCATGTGTAAGTTAGAAGGCAAATCTATATTTGATTATTTCAGTAACTAAGTAACATTTTGACCCACATAAAGTCTTAGGGCACGTCTTGACTACACCTTTTTCCGCTTTTTTTCCTTTAGGAAGAGGCTTTTCTGAAATTTGGCCCGACTACACTGGGCCAAAATTTGGAAAAATCCACTCTTTCGAAGATCCCTTCTTCATTGTGGAATGAGGAAGACAGGGCTTCTGAAAGAGCGCATCTACTCTTCCGCAAAAAAAAGTGGAAGAGCAAACGTGTTCCCTGGACGCAGCGGAGTTTTTTCAGGATACCTCCCGGTACTCCAAAAACGCCCCCGCAGTCTAGACATACCCTTACTGGAAAAGCAGTTGCCTACAGAAAAAAGAGGGAAAGCCTGCCCTTCAGGGCAAGAATTGCCTCTTTTCTGCACTTGTATAGCACCCAGTGCAATGGGGCCTAAACTTACCACTGTTAATAATAACTTTGGCATTTACATCATTCGTAATTTTGTCCCAGTGCATTTTTATGTTGTTTTTTTTTGGTGTTTGTTTTGCTTATGAGATTGGTATTAAATGGTGCCTGTAAATACATTTATGAAGAGGGGAGAAATTATGAAGGTCTAGACTGCAGGAGATAGATCACTCTGAGATGACAGTGAGTGCACTCTGACACCACATCTAGACAGTGGGGCTATTTGAGAATATTGGAAATATACCAAAATAGAAATTCCTCATCTTTAAAGGTGCCCATTATTTCAAAATAATGGGCATGCTATTCTGGCATCCCTGTAACCTTCCACGAGGGTTAAGGGGTTTGTCGAAATAGTGTTTTATTTCAAAATTTGGCACTGTTTAAACAGAGTCAAACTTCAAAATAAGTTATTTCAAGGTAAGGGTGCTGTGTTGGCGAACACTTTAATCTTCCTAATCACTGTTTAAAAGATCTTCAAGTGACTGTCTTGTCACAAACCAATTCTACTAGCCAGATACACAGAGAAGCATTGGAATTAGGGTTCAATTGGAAATTCAATTTGCATGCTAATGGACTCAGTCGTGATGAAGGATGGTTGGGACACTCTCAACCTAATAGTCAATGAAGGTGCAAACAGCTCTTTGTGTAGATTCCTATGTCAGGAAAGACACTATCGATTGACTTTGATTCATATCTGTTTTGTTTTAACTACCCAATCTTCAGATACTTACTGATTCCCTCTACCTTCCTGATTTTCTAGACCCTCTGCTCCCTGTGTCCCCCCCCTCTTTTTTCCCCTCTCCCCACACGCCTTCT